ACACAACACTAAATATTCTAAAATCTAGTCTTTGACATTAATACTAAAATTAAAGATCTATGTGGCCAATACATTGCACAATTTATAAACATGTATTAATTAACTATATATAAATTGTAATGTACATATTATTCATACCTTCATCACTCTTAGGAGCCCTCTTGATATGCGGATCATCCCAAGCAAATAAATTGCCTCAAGACGATCTTCATCTCCTGCCTCACCCAGCAAACTCATACCAAAATCAAAATTGTCATTACAAAAGCAGTCCTCCTGTTAACAGCTAAAACAATACCAATATTAAGACCAATGACACTAAAAATAAATTAAATCAAATTACAAAAAATTACTAAAATTAGACATACCACTCATTGTCTATACATAACATCAATATTTTTATTTGCTACACATTTGTGTATAAATATATCAGCCTTAAGTTCTTTGGGACCCATCCTTTGAAAAATTTGGAGGGGCGCTTCTTTGAACACTTCACTTTCTTCCCCCTCTGCATACATCTTTTTTCAAACTTTAGAAATTGAAATATGCAGTTAATAACTAATAAAATCAAGTTGTGTTTCATCAAATATACCTTCCTAAGTTAATGTGTATCCAAAATTACCAAATTCTTGTAGATATGATGTCTTTTGCAGATTCTGACCCTAATATTACAATAATCCGAGTCAAAATATCTACTGGTAGATCATCCAACGAACTAAAACATGTTGTATTCGACATTCTACTTACAAAATACACATTGTATAAGTTGATATCAATTCTTAAAAAAAAAAACGGGCAAAATGTGAAATACTATGTATAACAGGCTAAGAAAAAAACCCTACTTTCATGCACTGATCATGGACTAAGAACCACTTTCAATAACGTTGGGGAAAATTGATTTTGTGATCGATTCTCTATCGATGATTTTGGGGTTTTCTTTGATAATTGCAAGTTTCATCTTCGGGAAGGGTTTGAAGAATTGAAATAACATGATGGTGTCCGGATGTGACAACCCAAAAATTTCCACTTCAATAGAAGCCAAGTCTGTTTCTGCTAACTTTCAAACTTTTGGGACAAGTTTGAGCAACTCAAGATTTACACTTAAGGAGATACCAGGAGAGAGGTTGCACTTGGGTCTTGTGCAACTCTGTTATTCCAAAACTCTATGATATTAGAGTTCTTTCCGGGAATAAAATATTTTGTGCCAAAAATCCCAGGACTATATATAGAATTCTGAACCAAATTATTCATTAGTTACAATTCCAACTAGAGAAAAGCCAAATTCTCTCTCAAGGATCTTCGGGCTTTTGTTCCGGAAGGTGAGTACTTCTATCTAGTGTTGTTTTAAAGCTTTATATATGCTTAATACACTAGAAATCATAGGAAAACACCAAGATCTGTGAGTTTACCGCCCAAGAACACCTTGGGGAGTAAACTCCATTTCAAGGGCCAAAGTGTGCCCAATGACCCCTAGACCTTGGAAACCAAACATAGGACAAACCTTGACATGTTTAGGCATTAAAAGCAATTAAAATCAAGGACCAAAAGTGAGTTCACGGCCAAGGAAGTTCTTGGGCCGTGAACGCCATTTTAGTGTGCCAAAATGCCTTCCATAACCCAAGAGACAAGCATAGAACTTTACCTAGATGTGTTTAGGACCCAAAAGAACCAAAATATCATCACTCATACGTGTTTACGGCCGCAAACACATGACCAAATGGTCCATGGGCCGTAAACTCAAAATAGAGGTGTTTTGATGCCACAAACACTTCCAAGGGCTTAGGCATGAATTTAGAATGCTTCTTTATGACCTTTAGGACCCTCATAAACATATTTGGCCATGAGTTTACGGTAGTAAACTCATTTGGGCCGTGAACACCCCAAAAGTGCCAAAAGAAGTGGTCTTTCTCATCCTAGGTTAAAGCTAATGTCCCTAAAACATTCCCTAGCTTTCATACTTGCACTAACCCATGAGTAACCATGAGTTTACAGCCCTAAACTCCCTTGGGCCGTGAACTCATGGTAGTAAACTCATATAAGTGCCTTTATACCCTCCTAGGTTGAATCACATGTGATTCCAACACTTGGTTAAGGTGTTTCCTAGTCCCGGAAGGTGTTTCCTTTCATATAGTTGTTTATAAACACTATATTCATGTCATTTTGTGTCCTTAAATATCATTTAGGACTTATTGTGTCTCGGAACTTCATTCGTGGAACTTCTCATCCGTACACGCATACCCGTTTGAATCACCCACATCAGGTGAGTTCATACCCCGTAATGAATCTTTTAACTATTTTAATTGTTTTAAGGGGGGGATACAAGTCGAACACAATGATAATTGTGTAATTATTTGTTGTTAAACATTCTTTCAAAATGTTACTTATGTTATTTATAAGTTGTTAAAACATTTCAAAACTCTTCTAAAGGTTATGTTACTTTATAGTTATACAAAACTCCATTATAAAGTATAAGCATAACTTTGTAGATAAATGAGTCTTTTCAGTAACAGTCCAGTTAGAGCATTATTAAACTATTATAGGTATAGTTTAGGAGAATGTTATTCATTACTTCTAGTACAATGAACAGAACAGAACAGAACAGAACTAAAAAGTTAATTTGCTATAGCATGACAACACGCAGACAGGATCTAACTTTAATGTGAATTACACGGATTGCATGGATTTGCTCGGGTCGCGTTTGGCTCCCTCAATCTCCATACATGAGAGTGGGTTAGTAGGGGTTCTAGCTTTCACATTATGACTGTAATAAAACACACTTATGTTTTTAGGTTGATAGTACCTCCGTATGTCATTATAAACGACATCAGGGTACTCATTTTCACCCATTACTTTCATAAAGTGTCGGTAACACTTGAAGGTTGATCTATTCTCTAATCGAGGTAGGTTATAAACTAGGGAGAATGTACTTTACAGTTGACAAAGGAACAGTAGAGCCTTGGTAGAAGACTGCTTTCATAACAGTAGAGTCTTGGTAGAAGACTGCTTTCAAAACAGTAGGGTCTTGGTAGAAGACTGCTTTCATAACAGTAGAGTCTTGGTAGAAGACTGCTTTCAAAACAGTAGGGTCTTGGTAGAAGATTGTTTTCAAAACAATCGAGTCTTGGTAGAAGGCTACTTTTAAAATTTAGGACCATGATGCTAACCTTTTGATTCCGTAATGTATACACTATAGTATACATATATGTTAAGTAGATGCCGACAGCTGATAGGATGTGTGTTCTTCGATGTACGTCTTGTTCCCGTTGGATGTAGGCTTACACCGAGGTCACCCAATCTATTATCTACCCGAATCTATATATATTTATGCTTAGTATACCTTAAGTCATCATAACGGTACCAGGTATGGATCAGGTCATAGGACACAGAGTCAATGCACAGTTTTTCTAGTACAAAACTTTCGTTTCAAAGTCAGTACTTTTGATATACAAAACTAGCGATTTCCCAGTTAAGGGCTTAATCCATTTTATTAAGCCAGTATAGTTTTAAAAGACTTTATGTGAGTTAACTCTATAATACCTTTGTTTATACACCATGTTTATATATAAGACTAATATCCGACAGATAATAGGATGTGTGTTCTTCGTTGTACATCCTATTCCCGTTGGACGTGGGTTTACACCGAGGTCACCCAATCTTTTATCTACCCGATACCAAATTATATATAGCAGTATAAACAAAGCTATTATAAAAGTAATCACCATAGTCAATATTTTATTATAAGAAATATAGGTTTTCTTAAAAGGAACTCTCCATTAGACATAAAGGAACCATTACAAATAACTCCATGAGTAACAAGTGAATACCCCAAGGTTATATATGACAACGATCTAATAACCAATGGAATATGTGCTATCCGCCTTACTTACTGAACCCCATCGGTTTGTAGGTTGAGGGCAGATGTGCATAATCGATTGTTTGTTTACTCCAAGTATATATAACTTGTACCCACTTATTACGCATAGAAAGGCTTGTAGTGTCATTTTACTCAACTCCCATTTTAAGTAGGAAATATATGATTTTCTAGAGGAACAGACAAACTTTACAAAACAACACCTTACAGCTTACAGTACTTTACACATACATTTTAAACCACATTTTTACAGCTTACTCACTTCACTAAAATCTTATGAGCTCACCAGCTTAATTGCTGATCAACTCTTTCAAATAACTTGTATTCTCAGGAGACTATTAGACAGGTGCTCATGCTGGGACTTCAGAAGATGGAGCATTATAGCTTCAAGTCTTGTTTTGTTATTTGTTTATGACTTCTATGTTTTGTGAACACATACATTGTAAACACCTTCTTTCTAAATGAAATGGTTGTTCATTACTTGCTTACCATATACATATCTCGTGGTACTTGACATGACGTCCTCCACCCCCGAACGTTTCCGCCGTTCCGGTTTTGGGGTGTGACGCCGGAGTCGGAAACATCATGGTGCCTAAAAGATGTAGAATGCACAAAGACCAAATTACCCTTGAAATAATTCCAAATATGTGATTACTAAGGGTATTTTCATCAAAATGCATTATTAGAAAAAATTACATTTTTGAGTAAACAACCAGTGCGATTATCTATGACGTATCAAGAACCAATTAATTAATGAAAGAGTGACCTAATTGCCCTTGTAAATACAATCATTAATGTTGGATTACAAAGGGTTTTTTGTCAAAACGAATCAACTCAAACTATATTTGTATTTATATTTATCTTTATCAATTTCATGTTTGCTTTTTAAATTGTTTATCAATATATGTTTGTAATATGAATCATGATAACAAATTATACAAGATTGACATAAAAATGTTAGAACAAAATAGAATAAAAATTTGAAATAGATTTTAACATCAAAGTAACTAATCTAATGTTAGAAGAACATATATAGAATAAACAAACTACATTTATATTAAAAAATAACAAGTAGATAACAACGTATAAATATTAAAATGACAAAATATTCAAATAAAAATTAAGATCTAGTCTATTTACTAAGCTCATTACATTTCTTATTTATCATTTTATTCATACCAAGAAAGTCTTCAAGATATTTTACTTCTTGTTTTTCCACCTTGATCTCGTAATCAAGATATTTGTATACAACATCTTTGTGAATCAAGTTAGTTGCCTCGATCCACCTTTTCTTCTCCTCATGATTATGTATGGACATATCAAGCCTTGCTTTGATCGCATTCACGTGAATACATGAGTACACATCATCAATACTTTTGGTGAGAGCAAGCTTCTTTACTTCAAACAAAATATCCAAGGAAATGATAGCATTAGATGAAGAAGCCGTTAGTTTGGAATAAAGTAAGATGTATAAGATTTGGTGGTAGATAATATGCATATGTGGGGGATTTTACAGGAATAAAGGGCATATATTGAAAGGTCTCTAGTAATTAATATATATGGGTATTAATTGGAATAGTTAATATACATAAATAACGTAACATAATGTCGTCCACTAGTTAATGGCTTATCTTGCATCAAACGCAACCTTGAATGAAGATTTCATCGCCACCATTCGAGAAGACCTAGAAAGTTTAGAATCAAGAATGATAGTAATGGAGTCTCTTCTCCGATGATTTTTGAATGACGAGACAAATATCAACGAAGTTCTAGATGCTCTGTCGAAGAAGTAAGTCTCAGACGATATAACGGATGTAAAATACGAGATGGGTGTAGTGAAGTCAAACACGAGAGATCAAAGTCAACATTTAATATATTACATGATAATCTTGGCTAGAAACATCAAGATGAAGAAGGAGTTCCAAAAACGGTTCTTCAGTGATGTCAATTTAGAGTAGGAATTAATGTTATTTACTTTTAATCTATTTTGGATATGATTTTATTATGTGCGTAACGGCATATGCAAAACTTTAGGTCATCTAATTGATGATAAATAGGATTTGAGATTTTCATTATATATATATATGGTTCTAATTACCAAAAGTAAGTTAAATTATATTGTTTGTTATTTAATTTCTGGATGTATATTGTTTTTAAATTAACTAAGGTAAAAAAATGTTTTCATTTAGTTTGACTAAATTTTCATGACAGATTTAAAGTTTTTAATTCATTACAAAAAAGTTTGTTTTTATGCTCTTTTCATTTATATTGATCAATATTTTGAACAATCCAAACTAAATAGCCACTACTACCCAAGGAACATGACCAATGAACCATATGTCATCCATGGGTCATACCATAACACTATAAGCAACTACAACATGACCAATGATCTAGATATCATCTATGGGTCATACCATGACACTATAAGCAGCTACAACATGGCCAATGACCCATATGTCATCCATGTGTCATAACATGAAACTTTAAGCAACTACCACGTGACCAATAACCCATATTTCATCCATGGGTCATACCATGACACTATAAGCAACTACCATATGACCAATGACCCATATGGCAAACATGCTCATACCATGACACTATAAGAAACTACAACATTACCAATTACTCATATGTCATCCATGGGTCATACCATGACACTATAAACAACTACCATAAGACCAATGACCCATATGTCATCCATGGTCATGTTGGATTAGGTGTGTAAGCCTATAAATATAATTGGTATGTACTTGACCCAAGAGTAGCATGGACCTTTTGGGTTGCCTTCATCAATGTAAATTGAAAGGATGGACTTTTGAGAATAAGGTTATTTATGATTTGTTAATATATTACAAGTATAATATATTAATATGAAATCATAATATTTAATTTGTATTGAATTAAGAATTAATTTGGGATTAATTTAGTGATCAAAAGAGACTAATTAAATATACAGGGACTCATTTGGTAAATCAATGATTCTTATAGTGTAGGCCAATGATCCATTGTTATTAGGATGGGCTAAACCAACATGGATGGTCCATGGAGGTTAACCCATGGAGCCTAAGTAATATGAAGAGTCATGGTGCATTAGGGTTTGCATGGATGTAATCCCAACACTTGTCACACTATAAAACGAAGTCCCTAAAGCCAAAATTGGATGCCATATACATTCTTGGAGAGTGTTAATCGATTTTGTGCTAAGAAACTTATTCTCTTAAGCCTCCTTTTACACTTAGTGTTTGTGACACATTAGAGACATCAAATTTGAGGTGCTAAAGCTTTTTAAGGCCAAGAACTACAAGTCCTAATAAGAGGTAAGCTATCTAACTAGTTATTTTATTCAATTTTCAAATTGTATGCTAGTTAAGATGTATGCTTTGGAAAATCAAATTGCATGTATGATTAGAGAAAACATAGATTCAAAGCATCTACGGCTGCATGTGCACCATAAGGTTGTTAGAGTGCTCAAACCCCATCAGTGGTATCAGAGCCTAGGATTGTTATCTGTTATAATTGATGCTTATTAATTTTCCAAATTGAAAAAATCAATTTTCTGGTTTCTGACTGATGAACTCGCCGAGTCCACTGACTGACTCGACGAGTCAGGTTCATGCACTCGTCAAGTTGATGACTCTAGTTGCAGATTTTCGAGTTTTTTTGTCAGAATTGGTTTAAGATCATTACCAAAAACTATTTTTTGAAACATAAAATCTTTTTTCTTGATATGGTAGTGATCATGCTCATCCAATTGAAAGATAATTATCAAAATTTCAAGATTTGTATTAATTTATATGATTAGGCTAATTTCATGCAAATTGTTGATATGAATTATCTTGACTTATGAGTTTAACCAGATCATAGATAAATTATTTGATTATTTTGTTAATTAAAATATTGATCTAAATGCCTTTAATGAATTCCATAACTTGCCCTCAATTTATGGAAAATGAAACGTCTTTTTCTTTAAAAGTCATTATACTCATAAGTTATGGAAATGAAAAGTTTTGAAGAGTTTCAAAACTTGCCCTCAAGTTGTGGAATTTGTAAAGTCCCTCTTATGAATACTTTAATTCCAAACCTTAGAATTTTAAATGTTTAAAATTCAACCCTTATACTATTATAATATTAAAATTTAATAATTATATATATATATATATATATATATATATATATATATATATATATATATATATATATGTATGTATGTATAAGACAAGTCAGTCTTACCGTTAGTAGGCCTTATTCATGAAGCTGGTATATAAGGGGTATAAGGTTACTGACTATAAAATGGTGGTTTAATGGGTGTCCACTCTCACCCACTGCTTCCTTGACTGGTGGAGGGACGTTAGCCGAACAGGTAGGATAGGACATTAATTCTCATTAAAAGTATAATTATAATTCTAAAGTAACTAAATGTTTTATTAAATTCCTAATCTTAGTTACTTTAGGAAAAATGTGAAATTGATGCTAATCCATGAAGTTGCCCTTTGCACCTTACCAAGTCGTTAATGGAGCGTGTGTGGTTAATCGTCATATTAACTTGGACTATTAAGGGTGGCAAAGGGTAGCTTGATGTTTGTGATAGATCAATGGAGCATGTGTGGTTAACCGAAACATTGATTAGGTGATAAATGTCATCGACTGTACCAAGCACATTTACATGGTTATTCACACCTTGTTTGCGATCCTCGATATCCCAGTCATAAACTGGAAGGGCATAAACGAGATTTAAACATGCCATTAAAAAGTTCAATGAATCTCAAAGGAATCTAGGAATTTTAATCCAATTAAAACCTAATAATCAATTTCGTTTTTCATGGTGGAAATTGGTAAATCATCATTTACCTACCTTCAAATATTTTTCAATTGGATTACGGCATCCCTCTTCCAATTTGTAAAGTATTTTCGTGGGTCCTAGCCTTAATATTTCATTTGGGTGTTATATTAAGGACTCTTATCTAATCTAAACTTTGTCTTTCTTTTTCAGATGTCTTCCAACATTGCTTCTGGCTCAAAACCTACTAGCTCTTTCTCCCTAATGAACTTGTGTGGGAGAGTTATCTTTGATTGTTCCAAATTCAATGATTGGATCAGGAACATCAGGATGGTTACTCGTTACGAGGACAAGGAATATATCTTCGACAAAGAGCTTAAGGAAATTCATGAGTCTTCTGCTACTCCTGAGGAGATTGCTGAGTATAGGACTCATGAGAAGGATGCCACCAAGGTGTCTTGTATCATGTTGGCTACTATGACAGCTGAACTCCAAAAGTCCTATGAGGACTTCTACCCTTTTGAGATGCACCAAGACCTGATGGAAAGCTACCATCAGAGTGCTCGTCAAGAGATGTATGAAATCATCGCCTCCATGATAACAACAAAGATGAACGATGGAGAACCTATCACGACCCACTTGCGGAAAATGCAAAGGTTTATGGACCACAAGCCGAAGTTGAATGTGAAATTCGATGAAGAGTTGGCCATAGACATCTTTCTACACTCTTTACCTCCATGTTAGGATCAGTTCTGTATGACCTATCTTATGAACAAATAGGAGGTCACTCTTAGCAAGCTTCAAGTCTTTTTGAGGACTGCTAAAAGTAGTCTTAAAGGTAAGTCTATTGTTTCTACTCCTACTGCTACTGCCCCTATCCTAGCAATTAGACATAGGAAAGGGAAGAAGAGTAAGGCTCCCTCTAAGAGCTGCAATGGAAAGTCTCTTGATGGATCCTCTTCAAGTGGAACCAAAGGTGGTTCCACTAGTCCTTCTACTATTCCTAAGGAAGCATAGTGTTTCTATTGTAATGAAAAAGAAAACTGGAAGCGAAGCTGTCCAAAATACTTGCAAGATGTCAAAGTTGGGAAGGTTAAGGCCACCAATGCATGTATTTATACTGTTCTATCTAATAAATCATCACATTCATGTTTTTGGGTCCTTATACAGGTTGTGGATTTCACATTTGTTCTGATTTGCAGGGACTAAAAAGAAGTAAGGATGTGGAGCACGGGAAGATGAACTTGATCATGGGGAATAGGAAGGTTTCACCTGTCACCAAGATTGGAGTTTATTCTTTATTGCTTAGTAGTTTGTTAGAATTACATCTGAATAATTATTTCTACACATCTGATATGGCGAGAAATATTATTTCCTTTCATGGTTTGTACAAACAAGGTTTTAGTTTTTCATTTGATAATGAAATTGGTGCTATTAATGCTTTTTATAATGGTGTTTTTTATTTTAAAGCATTGCCTTGTAATGGTGTATATGAAAATGTGATGGTTGTAGACAACTTAGGAAATAATGTGTTGCACATTGATTCTTCCAATAGTTTGGATAAGGCATGCTTATGGCATTGTCGTCTTGGACATGTCAGCAAGAAGCGCATAGGCCAACTCCAAAAGGATGGAGTCTTGGAGTCATTCAACTTAAGGTCGGATGACACTTGCGAATCTTGTTTACTTGTAAAGATGACCAAGTCACCCTTCACT